TAATATCAATAGGGAGACGACATGTGCGCGCAGTACATGTCACCTTGCTATTGATAGTGCACCAAGCATTCGCAAATTGAACGAAAACATCACTTCTACTATTAGGTTATTTTGACGCATTTTTTGGCTCTCGGTCGGATTTTGACAACAAATTTTTGGACTGATCAGTAGAGAAAAGCATAAACTTTTCAGATTCGCTTCCGACTTTCTATGAACATCAAATCATGTTTGATTTGCACATCAGAAAAGAAAGTCTTTCAACCATAAAAATTTCACAATACCTTTCTGCTGCCATTTTTCTGTAGAGTGCAAATTCGTCCAATTCAAAGGTGATCTGAATGAGGAGCCTTGCAGCTTCTAACCCATAGCTGCATTAGCGTTTCGCAATTTGCGCTCAGAAATTACAAGCCGACGAACTTCTTCTGACCGCAGCTCTTTTCCCATGTGACGTCGTTTCTGCGGAAATCGCATGGCCTGGATGATGGGTCCAAAAGATGTGCAAGTTACCCTAACAATGTTCCCAGTAGTGGAAGATTTGCTCCGCTGTGCAGAACTAGAAGACTTCAAATCACTTACGACAAATGGTGCGGTTTTGGGGGCAAAAATGGTCATATTTTCAAAGTTTGGGGGAAGTTTTTTTTGCAAGTGGTCCTTCAAAAACATGAAGGGTCTCCACAATAGCCCCACAGACCTCTATATGACTACAGCATCTGGGCTTTCCAGATCCCTCATGCCTGAAATAATCCTGCCCAAACAGGCCATTTCTCGCGTCGAGTTTTCCCTTTTGCGTATGCTGGCGGACCACAATAAGGCGATGGAAAACCAACAAGACAACATTGTAGGTGTAATTTTCGCAAAGAAATTCGTAGCTTTGAGAAAGGACCAATCTGCTTGGAAATACAGTTTGAAAAAACTTTTTGCAAGTGTTCGGGAACTTTCCTTACGACCTAATGGATTTCAGTGTGCTAGCAAGTGATGCTAACATAACTCCATCCATGTTGTAATGCATGAAGAGCCCAAACATAATAAAGTAAACGGACCCACTGATGTTTTTGCAAATATTGGAATGTTTCAACAGTTCTACCCACTTTTGTACTTTTTCTTTGACCTGTACTTTCTTTGACCTGTACTTTTGGAGGAAAAACTGCATTTTTATAAGAGTTGGTTTAATGAAAGCTTTTTCTTTCCAACTTTCTAGCAAGCTTTCTTTTTCATGAAACTTCGTCTGCCGATAGATGTTCTTTTTGTTCCATCTCCATGATTTTCACAAGCAAAAGACGAAATATTTTGAGACCTGTGTATTATTTTACTGACAAAGGAAAAACTGATGACCGTGGCCATCCATAATGACCATGTAATAAAAAATGCTTTTGCTGGTTCGAAAGTTGTCTTTCAAATTTGCGAAACGATAATCTTAATGAAGCCATGATTATCTTTTTCAAGAATGAATTGCGTCCTACGGAGTGTCAAAACCACCCATACAATCTTTTGTGAATGCTGAATTTAACAGTACTCTTTCTAATTTTTTTCTTAATTGACATTGCGTGGTAAACTAGAACAAATGTGGTAAATCTGATTTTAGCTATCCACAAGTACGCAAAATTTTTACGAAAAAAAGTTTATATTCCTACAGAAGATCGTTTTGCAGATTTCGAGAGGTTTGAAGTCACCGTTTCAAGGTGAATCTTATGGTATGTGACACATTTCCAATAGTCACAGTCAACGAGTATTCTTCCTTGTGAGAACTACTTTTACAATGTATCGGGACATTTAATAAGGCTTGGACCTGAGTTCCAGCATAAAATGGTATGTCGCCGCAGTCCTCATGAATAGCATAAATATTGTAAGCGCCATGCGATTACGAAGTTCTTGCTATGTAAGCAGGCGAGGTCTATCTATGTATTAGTACATTTCATATTAGAATATGAAATAATAGGATTAGAATATTAGAATTATCGACATTTTCTCAATAAACCCAACAAAAAAGTTTCAGAAAGTTTTTATTCTAATATAATAAAGCGATTTTACCAGATATTTTGAGATTTCTCGCAAAAATTTGTGGTCAAAAATTTGTCAATTACGAGGTTAGTAATGCTGCTTAGCCGATCACTGGCTACACAACGGAAGTTTGTGCTTGGCTATCTTCCTCGTAGTTCCCGATAAATTTTGAATATGCGTAGCACTGCCAAAGCTTTATAGATTGTAATGCGTCTAACGCACTCGCAATGATCATTTGAAAAAGTACGACAAATTAAAGATGAATTCAAAACGGGTGAAACTTCTGAAGCACCCCAATATGTTGCTCACGTACTACTTGGTAGAAATGTGATCTAACAAATCTGTTCAAACATGTCCGAAACAACGAAACGATTTACTCAAAAGAATTATTTGTCCACTTTCTTCGTCAAAACAAACAGTGGTTCTAGTGTAAACTAACATTCTATAGTTCTATAGTACATGACTTATACTTACGTATAAAAACCCTCAACACTGAAGAGCAATTCAATTTTATCTCCAATGATGAGGTTCTCTCTTCTTGGAACGGTGAGTTTTTACGATTAGCTCTTTGAATTCTCTCTTGGCTGCGAATTACGAGATTACGCGGTAAACTTCGACTGACACCTCTCAGCCAACTACAAGAAAATCATCGCAACAACTAAAGCAGTTCATTCCCATGTTTCACAAAAATTTTCAACCATTTTCTTAGTGCCATTTTCTTCTTAACGATGTCAAAGCAACTTTTTTTAGTTTGATTACTTTTTGTGATTTTGACAATTTTGTCGTAAAAACGATGACTACAGCTTCTAGACTCCAAAATTTGACTTATGTTCCAAAGGAAACACTAATCTACAGCGAGTCCTCTGCTCCTACAAATTCTGAAGCTCTAATAGCTTTCTTCAGAAATCTTCACATGAATTCTGGTTTGACGAGCTTTTTCTCTACATTTCGAGGCTCTCACAATGTTTGGCTCCTTTTTGTTTGCAAAAATGCCCTGATCAGAAGAGATGGTCTCATGATTACACCGACAGCGTGAACATCCTTACCGTCAAAAATAGAAACACGATCAACATCCAAATCCAACAAGTCAAAATAATCAGCACCTAAACCGGGACGATTGCTAGAACCATTAAATGGAGGACAACGACCATTATATTTCAGTTTATCAACACCAAATTGCTTTTTAACAACATATCGTGCAACGTAACACATTGTTTGATAATTAGCAGCAGAAAAACGAACAGCACCTTTTTCCCAATAAAAATTTAACAAATCAGACTCAAAAAGGATAGTTCCACGATCTTTATCAGTAGAATATACAAATTTATCAGGAAAATCGTCAATAGACAAACCAAATAGAATCATGTGGTAGTGAGGCCTAAATGTATGTTCACCATATTCTCCAGCATAGTATACTCTGAGACGTTTACCAAATTTACGCCAATACTTCCTGTAACGCCACATAAAGGACTGAACGTCATAACGATCAAGGGTCGGCACAGGAACACCGTCGCGAGATTTAGCAAAATGAAGGTGCTCATCGTCATAGGTCAAAGTAAGGAAAATAGCTGTTTTAGTGGGCATATCATCACGAACAGTAGCATACTCTAACAACATACGATCAGCCCATTTTTTAGAATAATCCAATCGGCAACCATTGCAACGATTACAAGATACGGGAATGACATTATATCCATTAGATTTAGCAAAAGCTGCACGCTCATCGGAGTATTTTCCTGCAAAAAACTTGCTACCATATTCAGGGTCAGATAGCACCATATTAGGCCGGAAACACGCCAAAAGTTCTCACCTCCCTCCTATGGTCTCACCTAGCGCATATTCTATCTAGGCCAATTATGCGCTAGGATTCAAAAATTGTCAACTCTTAAAAAAAATTTACCCCCTCCTGCAGGAGGGGGTAAATCCTATTTACGACTGATCGAGTCGACGAGGTTGCCAACGGCACCCATGATCTGGGAGCCGGCGCGGCTGCCATAAGAGGCACCTTTAAGGCCGCCTTGCTTGTAACCAATAACGCCACCAATAACGCCGCCGATATTCGACAAGCTCTGCCAGAAATCATGAGTACCCTGGGCAGAACTGACACCGGAGCTGATGCCGTCGGAGACATAACCGACGCCAGAAGCACCGGAGAAGTTACCAGCGATCAAAGCAGGATTGAGTCCGGCGGCTTTGAGATCAGCAACAGCACGCTGGTAGCTGGTATTGGCGAGGGCCTCTTGATATGCCGTGGCATTGTCCATACCGTATGCTTTAGCAATATCGGCATTGACATAATCAGAGACAGGCGCAACAATGCCGCCGCCGGTATACTGGGGTGTAATACCGGCTTCAAGCTTGGCAGCAGCACCAGAAATAAGGTCTTGAGCGGAAGAAACAATATCACTAAAGTCTGTACTGTGCTGCTCCCGAAGATCAGCAGCAAGACCATCAAGCTGACGAGACACAGCGAAAGACTCACCATGACCAGACCGAGCAGGCCAGCTAGACAAAATAGGACTTTGCGCGGAATCGTAATAATCGCGCCAAAATTCAAGAGCAGACAAACCATCAGTAGGCTTTGAAAAAAAATGTCCACTCCTATCATAATAATCAGACATAAAAAACCCCCTACAGCTTATGCTTTCCCCCCTCAAATCCGGCAAATGCCGGAGGGGGGAAGAAGTTCGGCAAAATTGGAAAAAAAAGAAAAAAAGAAAGAGAAAGCCGAACTTATTAAACGAATGCCGCTGTGAGGTCACAGGCGGCGATTTAAGCGGAGTAAATCCGCGACGTAAAGACACGGCAAGCTAAAATTTTGAAAAAATTGGAAAAACCGGGAAAACGAGGGAATGAATCCTTTAGGGTATACGTGCTAATTATAGTCAATACCACAGGGTTTACCACACCGCAAGGGCGTGGAAAACCCTGTGGAATTGTACTAAACAATGACACGAAGCCTCATAAACCTATGACAGAGATAGATTATTTTATTGATTTTGTTAGAAAGCACCAATTGCTCCAGGTACGGAATACATGGGCATGGGCCTAGTCCAATAAGTCTCAAAATAAAAATCAGCAAAAGCCTGATGGGTAAGGTTGCTGGTTACAGCAAGAGCACGGTCAAGATTGGTCTTATCTTCACGAATCCAGGCATCAGACAAGACGGGCTTCTGGGCATAATTATCGCCAAGTGTCCAATGACTAAGAGCGCCAGTAACATTAGCCCGAAGGAAACCAGATGCACGATTTTGGCCGTACCTATAAGAAGCCCAGGCTTCCTGATAACCAAAAATGGAATCATTTTCAAGCGTGGCTTTGGAAGCGTAGATTTCACGGTCGTAAACGGGCTGTTCGCCAATCTGAGCAAAAAGGGGATTATAAAAATCAAACTTATGCTTGCGCGTAAACTGCGCAGGCATAGACTGCGAATAACTGTGATCGTAGCGGAGTACAACAAAGCCGTAGAGCCAGCCGGGCTCGGTAAACGACTTGACGAAGTCAAAATGAGAATCAGCAGTCGCACTCTGAGCGCCAAGATCACCGAGGAAATCAACCTCAGACTGGGCAGTATTAGTGATCTCGCGAACATTGACGCGGACACGATTTCCGCCGAGATATTCCGGATGATTGATACGACTATCCGGATTTGACACGCCAAAAAACTGCTGTAAAACCTCTTCGTAACGGGAGCCGGAGCGGGCCAAAGATTCATAATACTGCTGCGTCAACGTTGCAATCCGAAGGTCGTTAATCGAAATCGAAAAACCAGAATTGCCGGGGTTATAAGCCCAAAGATTACCAATCAAACCCTGGGTCAAATTATAAGACCCTGCGACGGTACTATTGACATAATCGTACTTTTTACCGTCGGAAGCCGTATAAGTACCATGAAAAGATGGATCGTTACCAGAAAAACCAACTGAACCAGAACCGTTGTTAAAAGTAGAACCAGACCAAGAAAACTCACCACCACCGGTGGAAGAAGTCTGCTGAAACCACGCCGGAGGAATCGGAAGAGTACCATTAGGGCCTGTCAAGGTGCGAAGATTATGTGTTGGGCCGGGATAAACGGGCCACTGGGCGGGAAATTCGCCAGAAAGGGTGACGGGGGGCCCTTTTTGAGGCTGCGGGAGACAGGATGTAAAGTAGTCCCTAAATTTTGCGGCTTTATAGGGCATTCCGCCTTTAAGCACATCTTCAAGGCCGGAGCCATTGGAACCGACAATATTATTATCACTATCATCAGTCAAAAGAGGGTCAGAAAGGTTTTGATCGCGGAAAAAGTCATTCATAATCAATGCAATTCCACGAAAAGGAAGGGCAGACGGTGCACCAGGATCATCTGCAGACCATTCAACACCGACAGGCCAACCAATATAGTCGGCCAAAGTACCAACATCATAACCACCTGCAGGAGCACCAACACAAGGAACAGTGTACTCAACACTAGGAATCCAAGCACTTTGGGTGTTTTCACCCAAAAATTCTTTTTGGTGTTTCCATAAGATTCTAGAAGGACAATAGAACCAATATGTGTCGAGGAAAATATTGTCGTAAACCGGAGCAAGCATAGTCTGTAGCCGGACAAGCTTACTAGTACGCATAGAAACCGAGTCCCCGGCGATGATCTCTTCACAGTATACAGGTACCACTTCGCCACACTGGAAGGTTAATTTGTGACCACAAGAACGATCAAAAACGGATCGAGGATGTTTCATTTGCGGAACAGTACGAAAATGGGCTTCAGTATTTCTGTTCATTTTGCAACACTTCCTTCATTCGGAGAAGAATTATTGATGGCAGCACTCACGGCCTGCGCCGGATCAGAGCCAGGAACTGAAGAAGAAGAACCAGAAACTGCATTATCCCTTGCAGATGTCATTTTCTGAGCCCATTCAGGGGAGCCAGCAGAGCCAAACCAATTACTAAAGGAGCCATCAAATTTAGACTTGATCTCATCGGGGAGTCGATCAAAGTGATTATGAGCGTCCATAATCGACTGCAACATAGCAGCGGGATTATTAGGCATCTGGGAAAAATCACCATAGAGGGCCTGACGTTGCTGGAGAACGGAAGCATCACCAGCGGCAAGACGAGCCATAATCAGAGACATGTCCGTCTGTTCACGGAAGGAATTAATCATAGTGGGAATATCAGACTTACCAGTCTCAGTCAAAACAATACTACCATTTTCCAGGGTCGGAGTATAAATGATGTAATCCGGAGAGCCAGGATTCGAGAAAAAAGTATCTCCATCAGGTATCTGAGAAAGACACAAACCACAACGCATAGACTACACCTCTTTCGAGTAACGCCGGAGAGCATCACGGCCGGAGATAACAAACTCCGGAGCGGTCAGAGGGTCAAAGATGCCAGAAGATAAATCGAAAGCACCGACCTTGAAAAGAGCATAATCGTCAATGGCAAAACGGAGCATGCCGGAGCTGCAGGACATCGAAAAGTTACGGATGGCAGCATCAGTATTAGAATCCATCATCAGAGCACCAAAACCAACTTTTGCATCTCGAATACAGTAAACATCGTATTTCATAGTTTAAACCTCCATTATAAGCGGACTCCGCCGCGAGAATTGACCGGGGAGACGTTGATTGCTTTCGTACGTTTGGCAGAACCGGAAAAAAATCTCTTATCCTTACGGGGATTAACACGGAAACGTTTAGACATAAGAAAACCTCCTATACAATAATAGCATCACCAGAGGGGAAAAGCTCTGGAAAATGCTTTTTAGCAAAACGAGTAGAACAATTGAGTACACGATTAAGGGAATAAAAATCACGACTTAAATGAATTAAAGAGCCAGAAGGTAACTGCAAATGATACATATCATCAATAACCCATAAAGTGGAACAGACATAATCTGTATAAGAAGACCATAAATTCTGATCAAAATCAAATCTAGAAAACTTAACCAAAAGCAAAGGCCCGTGAGGAATATGAGGAGAGACAAAACCCTCTAAAGAATCAAAAACAGCCATTAAAGATAACTCCTTTTATATAGTATACCATGTTTTAAGTTAAAATCAACCTCTTTGTCGTGCAAATACTGCATATAGGACTTGTCAGTCTGGGACATGAGCAGATCAGACTTACCTTGATTGATATAACGACGGGTATCCATGATAGCATTGTATAACTCTTCGTCGCGCTGCTTGATATGCTCCAACACGATGCGGGGAACACCGACAGCGTGAACATCCTTACCGTCAAAAATAGAAACACGATCAACATCCAAATCCAACAAGTCAAAATAATCAGCACCTAAACCGGGACGATTGCTAGAACCATTAAATGGAGGACAACGACCATTATATTTCAGTTTATCAACACCAAATTGCTTTTTAACAACATATCGTGCAACGTAACACATTGTTTGATAATTAGCAGCAGAAAAACGAACAGCACCTTTTTCCCAATAAAAATTTAACAAATCAGACTCAAAAAGGATAGTTCCACGATCTTTATCAGTAGAATATACAAATTTATCAGGAAAATCGTCAATAGACAAACCAAATAGAATCATGTGGTAGTGAGGCCTAAATGTATGTTCACCATATTCTCCAGCATAGTATACTCTGAGACGTTTACCAAATTTACGCCAATACTTCCTGTAACGCCACATAAAGGACTGAACGTCATAACGATCAAGGGTCGGCACAGGAACACCGTCGCGAGATTTAGCAAAATGAAGGTGCTCATCGTCATAGGTCAAAGTAAGGAAAATAGCTGTTTTAGTGGGCATATCATCACGAACAGTAGCATACTCTAACAACATACGATCAGCCCATTTTTTAGAATAATCCAATCGGCAACCATTGCAACGATTACAAGATACGGGAATGACATTATATCCATTAGATTTAGCAAAAGCTGCACGCTCATCGGAGTATTTTCCTGCAAAAAACTTGCTACCATATTCAGGGTCAGATAGCACCATATTAGGCCGGAAACACGCCAAAAGTTCTCACCTCCCTCCTATGGTCTCACCTAGCGCATATTCTATCTAGGCCAATTATGCGCTAGGATTCAAAAATTGTCAACTCTTAAAAAAAATTTACCCCCTCCTGCAGGAGGGGGTAAATCCTATTTACGACTGATCGAGTCGACGAGGTTGCCAACGGCACCCATGATCTGGGAGCCGGCGCGGCTGCCATAAGAGGCACCTTTAAGGCCGCCTTGCTTGTAACCAATAACGCCACCAATAACGCCGCCGATATTCGACAAGCTCTGCCAGAAATCATGAGTACCCTGGGCAGAACTGACACCGGAGCTGATGCCGTCGGAGACATAACCGACGCCAGAAGCACCGGAGAAGTTACCAGCGATCAAAGCAGGATTGAGTCCGGCGGCTTTGAGATCAGCAACAGCACGCTGGTAGCTGGTATTGGCGAGGGCCTCTTGATATGCCGTGGCATTGTCCATACCGTATGCTTTAGCAATATCGGCATTGACATAATCAGAGACAGGCGCAACAATGCCGCCGCCGGTATACTGGGGTGTAATACCGGCTTCAAGCTTGGCAGCAGCACCAGAAATAAGGTCTTGAGCGGAAGAAACAATATCACTAAAGTCTGTACTGTGCTGCTCCCGAAGATCAGCAGCAAGACCATCAAGCTGACGAGACACAGCGAAAGACTCACCATGACCAGACCGAGCAGGCCAGCTAGACAAAATAGGACTTTGCGCGGAATCGTAATAATCGCGCCAAAATTCAAGAGCAGACAAACCATCAGTAGGCTTTGAAAAAAAATGTCCACTCCTATCATAATAATCAGACATAAAAAACCCCCTACAGCTTATGCTTTCCCCCCTCAAATCCGGCAAATGCCGGAGGGGGGAAGAAGTTCGGCAAAATTGGAAAAAAAAGAAAAAAAGAAAGAGAAAGCCGAACTTATTAAACGAATGC